TAAGTGTCGTTAGTGCCAAATCTCAATCCAATCCTCATGGCCTTTATCTTATGCATGGATATGGTCTCTTGAAGGAAGCAAGGAACAATATCATAAAGAGAATACCAGCGTTTCAAGAAATGCATTATCTTTTGCTTTCTTTGAAATCTCTCAGACTATGCATTCTTCCATCGCCACTCACTATCATCTATTTGAGGTTCAATTTCTTTAAATTTCCCTCACTGTCAATTTGGTTGCTATCCTTTTTTTCTTATAATTTCTTTGATAAATAATATAGTTTGAATATAATATCACTTGAACTGGAATGATACAACATCAGTTGAGTTTGTGATTATTTCTTTTTATGCTTTCTTTCTTCCTTGATATGATTATTTGTAGAGGGTTTTGAATTACGTTGGAAACATGATTTAGAGTATCTACTATTGTAATGTATTTTGCATCTTCATTGTCTATGATGATCAAGAAGAAAGTTGAGTTGATTTTGTCTCGATTCAATTGCTATGGTTGTTTAATATAGATTACTGTATCGTTCCAAAAACAAATAATCCTTTTTTTCTAATCTTCTTTGATATGCTCACTTGATCAATGCTCCCTCACCCTCTATTTATGTTACGTTATATTTTCGAATTGGATTGGCTCAAGGTCTATGCATTAGTTGTAGTCTTGTAGCAATCATTGAGCATTAGCCAACTAGACATATATCGTCCTGCATCTAAAATCTCAACAGCCCATCATTTAAGTAGAGCGACACCTAATCGAATATTTTTATGTTTTTCAGTTTATCATGGATATTGATTTTCTTTGGATGCATTTTTGTCACTGCAGCAACATTATTATATTATTATTTGAGGTGGTATCATATAAGATAATAATAATTATAATGGCGTCCCTCCATGTGTGTGTTGTGCAAATCTTACCTTAGGATTTTTCATTCATATGTTTTTTTTTAAAGTGCCTGGGTGACTTACTCTAAGATAATTAAATTCTCTATTATAGTAATAGAAAACTGAAGTTTCTGCAGTTAAATATGAAGAATACTGATAAGTAAATATTTTATAATTAAATAGGTTATATTTTAGAATATATTTGGTTAAATTTATGAATATCTTATGTCTATTTAATTATTTTTTATGGATTTTTCTCTATCTAATCAATAATAGGATAAAAAGAAATTTTGCCACAAAATCTACTCATATCCTATTTTATTTTGCAGAAGATATTATTAGATTTCAGTAGAAAAGAAAATATCAAATAAAAATATGAAAGAAAGTCAAGCCTGAACTTCTCTATCTAGTACAAACATCGTAATTGGCTAAGATAATGACAAGTAGTTTGGAAACTTATAATGTGATGATGGTATTCTTTTTTTCCTTTTTTCAGTTTAACAAAATGGCTAAAAAGAGTAAGAACAAACTTGAACAAAAGCCTAGGAACTTCTTCAGATACATACTATTTACTAGGACTGCACATGGGCAAGACTGGGCAGGGCAGGACCCTTACTCAATGCCAGCCCGAAGAATGAACGGGCTGAAAAATGCAGCTCATTGCCTGGCCCTGCCTATGAAAAGCCCTATTGAGTTTGGGCTGGGCAAATGCGGGTTGGGCAGGGTGGGCTTCCATGCCCAACAAGTTAATATACTATATTAATTACCTAATTATTTATGTCCCTTTAAATAATGTGATGTAACTTCATATTAAAATGGCAACTCAGCCTTAATTTTGTTATTGCTAATTAATATACTATGAAACTACTTTTTGTAGTAGCTAGAAGGAGTGGACTATGACAAAAAATGTTTGTATATTTTATTAAACTTAATTGTTTTTCTAGTTTCTAACTCTCTAAATCATTCAAAAATAAATAAGTACAATGAACACTGAATATTGATGCAATAGTGAGTTTGATTCGGAAAAGAAATATGAGGCAAATAAAATATATATAAATAAAATTATATATATTTTTGCGGGTAGGGCCAAATAGGCAGGGTAGCATACTATGCCCGATGCCCCGCACTACCCAACAATTTGCCCAACCCGAACGTGCCCAATAGTTCTTTCGCGCTAATTTTTTAGGGCGGGATGGGCATTTTTTTGCGGGCTTGGACGAGCATAGTAGGCAACTGGGCTTCATGAACACCCCTATTATTTACTGCAGAATTTTATGAGAAGAACAAGAAGTTTAAGTCTTTTAAAGAGGGCACTAACGCAGTGAAAAGGCTTAAGGGAAGTTAACAAAAGATGAGAGAGAACAATATGGTGAAAGGGCTAAAAAAATGAGAGTCCCACTGAAAGGGAGGAATTGTATTATTCCCTTCCACACACGGTGTGCTCTGGGATAATTTATGGAGGTTTGCATGTACTTAAAGAAAAGTGAAGATAAGATGGAAAGGCCAAATTGCTTGCTTTATCTTAATCTTAATATTATTATTATTATTAATATATAAAGAAGGAAGAAAATCATTTTTTTATCCAATTGTTCATTCCTGGGATGAGGAAGAAGCAGATAGAGCAAGGGCCTCCTCTTCTTCCTGAAGTGAGCGAATTGCATGTAGAGATCCATAGGGGCTTATAGTTTAATTGGTTGAAACGTACCGCTCATAACGGTAATATCGTAGGTTCAAGCCCTACTAAGCCTACTAGAGTGAACGTGGGAACTTAGAACGGGGCACAGCGTAACTAAGAGAGCGATTCCATTTAGGACGAGACAGAATGGGCGGGCACAAGCAATATAGTATAAATTGGTTGAAATATGTTGCTCACAAATTTATAGAAATTTTTGTGGTGAATTGATCTGTGCATTTGACCCTATAAGTCAACAAATTTTAATTCGAGTGAAGAAGTATGAAATGGGACCCGAAGATGTAAATCAATTGATGGGCCTACCATTTGAGGGGCAGGATATTAAAATGAATGTAGAGAATAAAGATGAAACATTTAAAGGATTAAGGAATGACTACAGGAAAATGACATACAAAACAATAGGAAGATAGTTGACTGAAAGAAAAAAGGATGAAAAGTTTGAATTTTTTTTGTTATGTATGCATTAGGAGTCTTCTTGTGTCCTAGCTCGAGTGTATGGGTCAATGATAAAGTGTTAAAGGTCATAGTGGTGACAAATGATAGTTTAAGATAGTATGATTAGAGCAGCTTTATTTTTAGAGAATTCTGCAACTCGATTACAAAGTTCAAGAAAGGAAAGAAGAAAGGAAAAGCCGATGGGATGAAAATTATGGAATGTTGCTTATACTTTTTAATGGTAAATGTGGGTATGATTCATTTACTTTGATATTAGTTGTATTGTCAATGTACTATGTGCTGTTATCAATAGTGCTATGTATGTTGTAATTGACTGCTCTGTATATTGTCATTTGCTACTTTATATGTTGTCATTTACTACTTTGTATATTGCATTTGCTGGTATGTACGTTGTTAAATGCTTATGTATATGTTGTGATTGGCTCGTGTGAAGGTTGTTATTGGCTTGTGTGCATGTTGTCATTAGCCTCTGTTGGTTTGTTGCCTGCTTATGTATATGTTGTAATTGGCTGCTATGCATGTTGTCATTAGCCTTTATTGGTTTGTCACTTGCTTATGTATAGGTTGTAATTGGCTGTTGTGCATATTGTCATTGGCCTTTGTTGTTGTCACTCGCTTATGTATAGATTGTAATTGGTTATTGTGCATGTTGTCATTAGCTTAATAGCTTATGTGCATGTTGTGATTGGTTGTTGTGTATGTTGTGATTGGCTTCTATGCATATTCTCATTGACCTCTATTGGTTTGTCACTCACTTATGCATAGGTTGTGATTGGTTGACTTGTAGGTTGTGACTATATGTTGTGCATGTTGCCATTCAGTTAAGTATGGGTTGTGATTGGCTGCTGTGCATGTTGTGAATGACACAAATATAGGTTGTGATTGGTTGATGTGTAGGTTGTGACTGTGTGCTATGCATGTTATCATTCAATTAAGTGTGGGTTGTGAATGGTTGATGTGCATGTTGTAAATGACACAAATGTAGGTTGTGATTGGTTGATGTGTAAGTTATGACTGTATGTTGTGCATGTTATCATTCAGTTAAGTGTGGGCTGTAATTGGTTGCTGTGCATATTGTGAATGACATAAATGTAGGTTGTGGTTGATGTGTAGGTTGTGATTGTATGCTGTGCATGTTGTCATTCAGTTAAGTATTGGTTGTGATTGGCTGCTGTGCATGTTGTGAATGAGACAAATGTAGGTTGTGACTGGCTTATGTATAGGTTGTGACCGTATGCTGTGCATGTTGTCATTCAGCTAAGTGTAGGTTGTGATTGGTTGCTATGCATAGGGGTGAGCAAAACTGAACCGTAACTGAAGACCGTACCGAACTGAAATTAATTCAGTTTTTTCGGTTCGGTTAATTCGGTTTTTATTTTTTTGGTTAATTTTTTTGGTTATTTCGGTGTTTGGGGTTTGGTTCGGTGATCACAATAAAATTTCGGTTATAACCGAATAACCAAATAATAAACCTTTTTTTCTCTTTTTCCTATTATTTTTATTTCTCTCCTTTTTTTTCAAAATACTTCGCCCTCAGCCCCTCACCGTTCGGTCCCTCTTTAGCTCTCTCACACACAGCGTGGCTTTCTCAATCTCAATCTTGCCCTATTGCCCTAAAATCTAAATCACACACCGCAGCCTCCCGTTTGAAAGTAGTCACTCAGCTTCTTGACTTCTCCGAGCTTAGCCATCGTTGGTTGCCGACTCGCCATCAACCCGTCATTGCCTTGCCTCTGGTTTGTGGCTTCACCGCTTCAGTGTATCCGAACATTGTCTTGCCCCTACTTCGTCTCTGCTAGACTGCCACCCCTGCAATTCTGCGAAGCCTTCCGTGCTTCGACGTCCTCTTTAGTCTCTGGTAGCTTCGTCTTCTCCGGCAGCTTCATCTTCTGTCACAAAGAACAATTACTACTTCAGCACTAGGCATTGTTTTGTGACAGAAGCTATCATAAAAACTTCAACACTAGGCACTGTTCTCTGACTTAGCGTGCCTTTCTCGCGATTCCCTTCTCGTTTATCTCATCGATCCATTCCCTTCGCTCACGTGAGTCTCCTCTCTCTCTCTCTCTCTCTCTTCCAATTACTACTTTGCTCTCTACTCATAAGTATGTTTCATGATGAACTTTTGATTTCAACTTTGAATTGATATATTGATTGCCGATTATAGCGTCATACGAATATGCCCTTCATTTGTCTTTCCACATCTCACTGAATGGTTGTAGCTTGAATTTGTGTAAAAAGGGAATCGCGGTTAATTCAGAAGCTTCTGTGACAACTTCGTCTTCTAATAATGTTGTGTAGTGGATAATAGGCCAATTTGTTCTGTTGAGAAGATACACAGAGTTCAGGCTCTTAGACTCTTTGTATCAAATTTCACTCTATCATCTTGATTTAACAGATAGTGAGAATGGGTGATGCTCAAGTTATATAATTTGAACCGGATTGAGAAGTCATATTAATGGGTGATGCTTTATATCTTCAAATAACTTCACATACCAATCATAACTATATTCCAATAAGTAAAATATAATTTAAGCATGTTCAATTTTCCAAGGATATCAAATTTGAGTATGGATGGGGATAAGTTAAGTACAACATAGATCTTCAAAGTTGAAATTAACAGTAGCCGGTAGGTAGTTCAACATTATTAATTATTATTGTAAAATTGAAAAAAAAAAACACACACATACAGAGAAGGAAACTCTTTAATGAACAATGATTGATTGGAAGGGATTTAATATTAACTAAAGTTCGAACCTTACGAGTGATAATAAAAATGTGTGGGAGAGTTATCTCCGATTTGGGCCCAATAATAATACTTCCATAGGTCTGCTGCCACCAAAGATAGTTATTGTGTCAAATTTCGTACCATTTCCATGATCATTCATGATACCCTGTTTTATATATCAAACCTTCTTGTATTTAAATCATTTAATTACAAACACATGATCATGAAAAGTTATTTGATTTCATATTCATTATAAATTGTCCTCATTTGGTTTCTTATATAACATGTTGTCACTAGTTTTTTTTACTTAATTAGATGTCTTCTCATGGTGAAACCATGGGTGATGCTCAAGTTGGGGATGATAGTGCTACTCAAACAACAAAGCCTTCAATGCCAGTAACAAGGGGAACAAAAAGAAAAAGCATGAAGCCAAGATCAAAAGTTTGGGAGCATTTCACCAAATTTGTGAATGAAAAAGGTGAAATTAGAGGTAAGTGCAATTATTGTGGAAGTGATCTTGCATGTGATCCAAAAGCTAATGGAACCACTGCACTTAGCAACCATATGAATTCTTGTAAATTGAAGCCCCCTCCTGAAGAACTTGCACAATCTCTTTTGAACTTTAATGTAGAAGATGACAAAATAGGTCTTGCAAATTGGAAATTTGATCAAGATGCTATTAGAAAAGTCTTGTCATGCGTGATAGTTACTGATGAATTACCTTTCAAGTTTATTGATGGGAGTGGGTTTAAGCAATTTATGTCTATTGCTCAACCTAAATGTAAAATTCCATCAAGATGGATTGTTGCTCGTGACTGTTTTGGAATTTATATTGAGGAAAAAGTTAAATTTAAAGATTATTTGTTGCATAAAAGGCAAAGGGTCTGCCTCACCACTGACACTTGGACTTCCATTCAAAGAATTAATTACATGTGCATTACTACTCATTTCATAGATGATACATGGACATTGAGAAAGAGGATTTTGAATTTCATTCCAATTTCTAGTCATAAAGGAAAAGATATTGAAATAGAAATGGAAAAATGTCTACTTGAATGGGGAATTGAAAGGGTGCTCACAATTACTGTGGACAATGCCGATTCTAATGATGTCATGGTTCAATATTTAGAAGGAAAAATTGTGAATTGGGGCCACTCAATTATGAAATGTCAATTCTTACATGAGATATGTTGCACACATAATTAATTTGATTGTTACTGATGGGTTGAAGGAAATAGGGAGTTCAGTGAAAAATGTTAGAGAAGCTGTCCGTTTTATTAGGCAATCACCCCTTTGAATGAGAAAGTTTAAAGAGAGTTGTGAGGATGAAAAGATTCAAAGTAAACAGATTTTATGCTTAGATGTCCCAACTAGGTGGAACTCTACCTATTTGATGTTAGAGACTGCTCAAAAATTTGAGGCAGCCTTTAAAAGATTTGAGGATAAAGATCCTTATTTTCGATTTGATCTTGAAGATGGGGAGGGGGTGCTTGAGTCTAAAAATTGGAAGAATGTTAGAAGGATGATCATGATGTTGGGTCATTTTTATGAGCTTACTGTGCAGATTTCTGGCTCTTTATTTGTGACATCTAATACCTTTTTTCGTGAAATTTACAAGCTATATCGTTTTTTGGATGAATGGACAAAATGTGATGTTTGGGAATTGGCTTCCATGGCAAACAGAATGAAAGAGAAATTTGATAAGTATTGGGGAGATCCTATGAAGATGAACCAGCTTCTTTATATTGCTGCTACTCTTGATCCCTGGTATAAATTAGATTGGGTGCAATTTGCCTTGTGTAAAATGCACACAAGTGCAATTGGTACAAGTTTGGGGATACATATTAAAGAAATGTTAATTTCTTTATATAATGAATACAAACGCGCTTTTCCCCCCTCAACCCAATCCGAAAGTGGAGCCAGTGCATAGCACACAAGATGATTGTCATGAAGATGATGACCCTTCTGTAAAAGTCAGAAAATTGCTTGATATTGAGGAACAAGAGTTCATGAATGAGCGTTTTGGTGGAAGAACTAGCAGAACTGAGGTTGATAGATATTTGAATGAAGAAATTGAGGTAAATAAAGAAGATTTTGATATTTTAGGTTGGTGGAAGCTAAATGGCCCTAGATTTCCTATTCTTTCTCTACTAGCTAGAGATGTTTTGGCTATTCCAATTTCCACAGTTGCATCAGAGTCTACATTTAGCACTGGAGGATGAGTTCTAGATTCATTTAGGAGCTCTTTAACTCCTAAAGCTGTGCAATCTCTAATTTGTGCTCAAGACTGGCTTAGACGCTCAATTCAATATGTTGTAGAAGAAGGTAATGATGATATTCAAAAGATAGAACTTGGTAATATTTTACTTTTACTTCATAATATTATAATGCTTGATTTATTGTAATATATGAAGTCTGATTTTGTTTTTTTGTTTTTGTGTAGATTTGTAAAAATTGCATTGGAGGCAACTGTTGATATATTGTAGATGCTAGGAAAAAATACTTGAGTAAACAAATCTTGTGCTTATTTTTTTTTAGCTCTAAAGTTGTGCACTCTCTAATTTTTTTTTTTGTTTAATTGTAGTTGTTGGTGACTTGGTGTTGGTGGCAAGTTGCATGCAAGGAATTGAGCACAAGGATTAGCTGGAATTAGTTGTAATTTTAAATTTCACATGTTATGCTATTAGTATTTGGTTGGTTTGTTTGGATTTTAACTATATTTGGATTTTTTTGGCTATTGGTTTGTATGTTCTTATAGATTGATGCTTGAAAGAGGTTGATTATTATTTATTCTATTATTATGTATTTATGTTTTAAATTTGATATGTAACTAGCATAAAAAATCAGAAGTGGAGGACTTGGAAAATTTGAGACGCAAGCAATTCAAAATGGAGACAAATATTTTAATGGGCCATCTGCCAATTTGGTGCTTGCAAAAATCGTTTGGTGTCATAGCAGGCCAAAACCGAACCAGGAGAGATAATATATTAATGGGATTTATCAAAAAAAAAAAAACCAAAAATCGATCCAACGTCTTTTGGCCACAATAGTATTGAAGGGGCCCAATAATCGAATTATGCCCCTAACCGAACTGAAATATTTTTGGTTATTTCGGTTCAGTTATATTATTGAGTTCGGTTTCGGTTCGATGTTATTTTTATCCTATGTTCGGTTATTCGATTATTTTGGTTATTTGCATTAATTGAATCGAATAACCGAATACTCACCCCTAGCTATGCATACTATGAATGACATAAATGTAGGTCGTGATTGGCTGATGTGTAGATTGTGACTGTATGATGTGCATGTTGTCATTCAGTTAAGTGTGGGTTGTGTTTGGCTGTTGTGCATGTTGTGAATGACACAAATATAGGTTGTGATTGGTTGATATGCAAGTTGTGATTTAGTCAAGTGTTAGTTGTGAATGGTTGTTGTGCATGTTATGAATGATACAAATGTAGGTTGTGATTGACTGATGTGTAGGTTGTGACTATATACTGTGATTGTTGTCATTTGATCAAGTATGGGTTGTGATTAGCTGCTATGCATGTTGTGAATGACACAAATATAGGTGTGATTGGCTGATGTGTAGGTTGTGACTGTATGCTGTGCATGTTGCCATTCAATTAAGTATGGGTTGTGAATGACTACTGTGCATGTTGTGAATGACACAAATATAGGTAGTGATTAGTTGATGTGTAGGTTGTGACTGTATGTTATGCATGTTGTCATTCAGTTAAGTGTAGGTTATGAATGGTTGCTGTGCATGTTATAAATGACACAAATATAGGTTGTGATTGGTTGATGTGTAAGTTGTGATTGGCTGATATGTAGGTTGTGACTGTATGTTATGCATGTTTTCATTCAGTTAAGTGTGAGTTGTGATTGGCTGCTGTGCATGTTGTGAATGACATAAATATAGGTTGTGATTAGCTCATGTGTAGGTTGTAATTGGCCATTGTATATTGCCAGTGGCATCTCTGTATGTTGTTATTGTTGTGTAACTAAGTTATCATTTACTTGATATGCGGATTTATTCCTTATAATACTTTTTTCTGGGAAAAGAAAAGGCCTTAAAAAATGAGAATGCCATTATCTATTAGGATGAGGAAAAAGTGAAGGCAAGAGTAAAATCAGAAAAGAATAGTGATAGAGGCATACTACATGGTGTTAATAACGTCAGTAGGGCTTCATCTAGTGCATCCAGTACAAAAATAAAGCTAACCTACCTGATAAGTAAATAATGTCAGGCTTATTTTGGTGTTGTGTACAGTTTAGAGTAATAATTACTTTAATTATTGTTATTTTACAGGAAATAAAGAGAATGTATGAAAGGTTAGTGACCATGGTTAAAGGGTTCGTATCAATAATTGGAAAATAGTTGGTTTCCCTGCAATTGAGGTCAACAGATGAGAGTGAGAAGGAAGATGTGGTGAAAGCAGTAAGTAATAAAGATGGTGAAGAGAACTCAAGTGAAGATGAAAAAACTTCAAGTGGGAAGCATTTGTTCTGTTAACTCTATATAGGGGGCAATTTATTAATGGTATAGAAGGTGAAATGCAATATGTTAGAGGTAGTATGAGAACAAGAATGATAAAGGAAGGCATATCATATGACGAATTTAGAGTCCTTTTCCTGTGTAATTCTCCCTATTTGTCTTGTATGTCTCACTTTGACATAGAAATAGTAGACTCCACATGCTAAGATGTCAAAAAATGATGGATTCATATTGGTAAAATGAGAGCCCGTTTTGAGGTAGGCATTTATAATGGTGCATGCCAAGTGCCAACTTGTAACCTATTATCCGTGAGCTAGGTTGCCAACCAATTATTTTTTTAATTATTATTTTAAATTTTATAAAAAAAGAATTTATTATTTTACACATAATTTAAGTATAACCTTATTTTATGCTGGTTACTTGATTATATGTTTGATTTTTCCCAAAATAAATATGAGTTTGTGCCCCAAATGTGATAATCTCATTTTATTTCAAGACCACGCTTGTTTGTGTAGGGATATTAGCTTGAAATCTGTCACGTTCATGATATTTATGGGATTTATATAACTATTTGGTTTCTAGAAGTTTTAAATATTGGGTTAAAGAGGACTTGTGACTCTAAATTATTATGTGAGGAATACTAGTCATTATAAACTATATATTTATTTCTTGTGCTTTAATATTTATTATTTTTTCCTATCTTGTATTAATTTTCAAACTTTTATGAAATAGAAATAGTTAGATATTAAAGACAGAGGCAAACTAACATACATTAAAGGAGTAGATGGTTTTCTCAAATGGGCTTTTACTCAAAATAGAGTGACAAGCAAAATATCTTGCCCTTGTAAAAAAATGTATGAATGTTATATTCAAAGCAAGAAGAGATGTTAGGGTTAACTTATTACATAAGGGTTTCTAGGATAGTTATGAGGTGTGGGACTTGCATGGGGAAATAGATGTCAAAATGATTGTGACACTTCAAGTATAGCAGTAGAACATGATACTTATGAGGAGGGGAACCTTATAATGATGGTATGTGCTGCATATAATGTCCCTTCTACAAATGATATGAATAATGAATTAAATGAGAGTGAAGAGCCTAATGTGCATGCCAAAAGGTTCTATGACTTATTAAAGGATGCAGAGATAAAACTTTATCCAGGTCGTGACAAGATGTCAAAATTCTCTTTAATTGAAAAATTGCTTCAATTGAAGTGCCTTAACCATTAGAACAATAAATCCATGGATGCACTATTGGCCTTATTGAAAGATGTTCTCCTAGAATGGGCTTTAGTGCCAAACTCATTCTATGAAGCTAAAAAGATAATTCGTGATTGTGTTTAGATTATAATAAAATTGATGCTTGTGGAAATGATTGCATATTATATTGAGGGGAACATGCAAATGAAGAATCATATCCTAAGTACAAGATGCCTAGATAGAAGTTGAACAAGCAAAAAGGAAAAAAAATTTTCCAAAAAGTTTTAAAGCATCTTTCGATAACACCTAAGCTATAAAGGTTTTATATGGCAAAAGACATAGCTAAAGAAATGAGATGGCATAAGGAGAAGCACAAAAATAATGGTGTATTGAGACATCCAGCTGACTCTCTTGTTTGGAAACACTTTGACCAATAATACCCTAGCTTTTCTACTGATCCAAGAAGTGTTAGATTAGGTTTGGTAAGTAATGGATTTCAACCTTTTGGGAATATGAGTGCCAATCATAACATTTGGCCTATAGTTTTGGTACCATATAATTTGCCACCATGGGTTTGCATGAAAAGCTCATACTTTATGATAACACTTCTTATGTTTCAGTGGCGACATTTGCTGGTAGCAAACTCATTACCTTTTAGCAGTGACATTATGTCGCCACTGAAAGAACTTTCAGTGGTGACTTTCTTTTAGTGGCGACAGAAAGTCACCACTGAAAATAGATTTTCAACAACAACTTTGTTATGTCACCACTGATAAGCTTTAGCCACAGCTGCTAGGGTATCGACCCAGTGATGACAAAATGTCATCACAAAAATGTCTCAGTGGTGACTTTGGATTTTCAGCCGCTAAAAGTCAAATTTTTTATAGTGTTGGTTGGGAGGTATATATATATTTATACATATAAAGTAGAGTCCATGGCACTTCGATCTATTGAGCTTTGAATAGTGCTATGTGACTCATTTTTTTTATTTATAAATTTATAACAATAAGTGCTATGTTTCTTTTACACTTTAGTCAAAAGAACGCCAATGTTACATGTAACGTGAACTGTTGCTGTTCAAACAAAATATTTCCAAACTATATTTTTCAAATTTATCTTTTTGGTTATATTCACTTCATCTCTAGATATGGTAAGTAGTTGCCAAAAATACGGACAAAAATTTGTCTTTGCGTATAAAACATTTTTTCTTTTCAAAGTTATCCCTAATAAAAATAGGGATATATTTGAAAATATATTTATTGAAGAATAGTGAAAAACTCGTTAAATATGGTTTTTTTTTTTAAAAAAAAGATCATTTGAAACATTATAAAATTCTAAGCCATGTATTATAGAAGAGATAAGGGTATTTTTGCCATGGAAGTGTTCACTTAGGAGTAATTAGTATTCGAAAATTTTATTTGGAACAATGTCACCTTGAAAGTATGAAAACTATAACAATGTCACCTTGGAGTGACAGAGACCCCAACAAGCGTCTACCATATTGGATGAATTGCTATATTAGAGTCCAGGTTACTTACACATTGGAGAGCTGTTAAACACATGTATTTTTTTTTTTGGAAAAGCAAGTCCTTTTGCTTATTTCCATTAAAACCATTAATACTCAGCATTTATACCATAACAAACCCTCACTAAATCATTTTGCAACTTATTTATAGCTTGGTGGGACAAAAGAGATGTTAGGGATGGTAGACTCGATAGCGTTATTGAACAATAGAAGCAAAAGGAGGATCATTCATGTGAAATGTCGAGATTGAGAGTCTAAGCATGATGACCCAACAAGGCTGTGTCGTTGTGGGTTGGTGGCTCCTTTGTGTACTTTATGGATAAAGCTTAACCTAGGGAGGCAATTCTTTGGTTGTTGAAAGTATTAGGAGGTAAGGTTTTGGTTTCTTTATGTAGTTGATTTATCTCTTACTAAATCAAATGGTTGCTCTGTTTTTGATATGGAATGGTGACTCCATTAACAAGAGGTGAGTGTGGGTATTTCCAATGGCAAATGATGAGATGGGTGAAAGGTAAACAAAAGTAATAAATGAGTTGCATGGCCATGTCAATAGGTTCCATAATGAGAATATAAGGCACACGAGACATGGTGA